TATCGTCTTTCCATCGTTTTAGGGTTTTCATGTGGACAGGCGAAAACGATTCAAATACGATTCATGTAGACGCCTATTTTTTTTTTTTTGAAAATCGAGAAAAAAAGTCCCCATTTTCGAAAATATCCGGATACGTGTGGACAGGGTGTCAGGGTCAAAGTCAGTTGTATCACCTCAGTTGATGGTATTAAACTCTGGTTCAAGGTACATGATTTCTAGGTACTCAGTAGAAGAGCACAAAGACTCTTCACTGAGTGTTGCATGAAGTTTTTAAACCCTACAATAATTGCTGAGAGATTATTACGGCAACCATGTTTAGAAGCCTTAGGTTTCTGACAATGTTCCCATTCAGTCCAATGGTCAATTAATACAGTACACTGATATAGTGATTTGATTATTTTCAGGCATTTATGGAGAGACTTGGTTTATGGGGAGATGGAACAGCATTTAAATCGTTTGATTCTTTTCTAGCCAGCATAACTAAGAGAGGTCTTGGTAAGTGGCGTAGTTTTCAGCCTAGACTACGAGGAGTCTCTCTTTTTTCTTTAATAGTCCGTTCAGCAAAACGCGCGAGACACGCAAATGACCACGCGCAACACTCTCTCGCGCGCGTGCACTCCCCTCACTAAATCTGAAGAAAAAGAGAGACTGCTTGCAGTCTATTTTCAGCCCCAATGATCCACACACAAATTCTCTCCACTGATCCCCCTACCTTTCCTTAAAGAATTAGTTGAGAGATTTTAGTGATTATTTTATGAATTCTCTAAACTTTTTCTTGTAATGATGTATGGATATTTTTAGGAGAAAATTGATGTTAATCACGTTTGGTACTCAATGGGATAAACAGGGCCGTAGCCAGGAAGAAACTACAATCGAGGCGAACACACGGTCCGTTGTACGAAATCAGCCGTATGAAATCTTCTAATATTATCAGTCTGATAAAAAAAATGAAAATCGACAGTATTTGGTAAAATTTTACCGAGGCGAGTGCCTTGGTTCGCCTCATACTGGCTACGGCCCTGATAAAGGGGTTATATCATGATGACTTCCATATTCTTGTCAACGTTGAGCAGAAATTGTAACTAAGTATTCTCAGTCACATTTTTCGATACTTGGAACTCTAAAAGAAAGCTATGAAATGATTCGGGTTCCGGCAAATTACCCGAACCCTTAGCCTGAAATATGGGTAAACCACCTGTAACCGTGGAGAGATGGCTAGCTAGGCTACTGGCTAGAACGGTGATGCGCCATGGTGAAGCTAGTACCACCTCTCGGAAATCATGGTCGCCTTTTATATAACCTGAGCAGAGCTGTCATTAAGAGGCGGGGGCCGGGGATTTTCCCCGGCTAGCCTACTATGAACGTGGCCCCCGGCTACTTTCAAAGGAAAAGAAAAGAAAAAGGAACCAAAAGAAATCCCTAGCTGTTTGATTCCCCAACTACTTGTTGTATTTACCCGGCACCTTGAAATCTTAGTGACAACCCTGAGCCTGTCCCAGGCTTTGAAATAGTAGATTGTGGTGCGAAGTTAGAGAACGGGAAAAAAATAAGGAGAAAGAAAGGGAGAGGGAGAGAGAGAGAGGAAGGAATTTCGCCCTCACTCCCTACCCCACCACTGGCTGTTTTTCCTGCTCACATCTCCTTGCGTCGTCCTCACAATCTGAACCCCTGGAACAGGCTACCTTTTATATAACGTGGCAAACATGCACGTTCGCTTTCACTTCTCCATCGGCAGAAATGATGTATTTTAAGGTCACTAATATTTAAAATCTTTCCAGGTGCTTCTGAAATGTTAGCTATGGAAATGAAGGCATCGGGGATGTACGTTTCTAGAGGTTTTAGTTTCAGGCAGGCTGAGGTAATTCATAATTGTAGAAATGGCATCTTGATTTTTCTGTTGTAACCAGAAGTTTTTCTATCATCCTCAAATATAAGGCTTTTTTTTTTTGCAATGCTTATTTCTTCACTTCTGTTCCTTTTTTGTTAACAAACTTTGATAATGCTTTTTTGTCGCATTTCTGCAGTTTGTTAATGTTGAGGCGACACTGACTGCACAACAGATAAAGGTTTATGACACTGCAGTTCACGTTTGGTACGTATGGCAATGTAAAAAGGTTAAATCGTCGTATTAACTACGTTAGGTAGACCACAACTTGTAGAGATGGAATCATTCGGTGGTTTCTTGTAGCAGGGCTCCGGAATTAACTTATGTGATTTCGTAGAAATTGCACTCAAAACTTATGCGTTTGTTTGAGTCAAAGCAAAAGCAAAACAACAATCATAGTTGGTATTCTAAGAATTAAAGGTTGTGTGTATCTTTCACAATCGCAGTGTGAATATGTTTCAGCTTTTTTTCCTTTTCTTTTTAAAGGAGCGAGTTAAAGAAGTCATTAGAATTTGCCATTGGTCGCACCACCTCTTCTACACCAAGGGTGCGGTCAGTCTTTTGGTCCTGTCATCAGCGGTTCTTTAAACAGCTCTGGTGAGTATTTAATCCCGTCTCTGGTCTTTTAGGGGCAGATATTACAACAGAGTTTAGGCGTTATTTAATAAAACACCTTTCTAACGCTCATGCCTTAGCATCGTTGGCTGTTCATATCAACAAGAAGGCGACAGCCCGAATTAGAATACCATTTATCTAGTTAAAATAAATACCCTACAAACGAATAAGGAGGCGCTCTGATTGTTAGACCTCGTTTAAACAGTCGACCTTCAGTTTCTCCTTAACATTATTGCCCTCTTATTTCCAGTAATGTTGTCCTGGATTCTAGTTCATCGGCCTATTTAAAGTTGTACGTAAGACTGAGTCGGTATCGTCTCCAATTACACTGTGGTACTGTTTGCAGACGCTATCGCCTATTTATTGCATATTACGAGGTTGCAAGGGAAACTGGGTCAAACTGCGTACCCCAAAGCAGTCCCATAGTGCAGTTCGACACAACACCGACCCAGACTTCTGCCCAACCTCAAAACTCTGTGTCCGAGCGAGGTTAAGAAACCTAACAAAAAGAAAACGAATTTCATTTGTATGAGAATAAAAAAAATCATTTTCATATCAATGGCTTCGCACTTAGCCTCGCTTTAAAACAGAGGCTTGGAGCAACTCGGTAATGGCTACATTCGTGGGCCGCTTGGGAGCTCTCGGAATAGCTTACAGGATTGAGTGAGAAATTAATGAACAAGCGACGGAAACAAACCCTAACCGTGAAATAATAGAGCTACGTACCTGTTAGAGCGAATGAAATTATATTTTTTGAAGGGCTTCGTGACAGTGGCAATGTAAGGTAATCCAAGACAGTCTTTGATTCTGGATTGCACGCTGTGGGTTCCGGAATCGTTATCATTGGAACTTGGATTTGGGATTTCCAATCGTTGGTGGGATTACGGATTCCAAAGTCCAGGATTCCGGTTATCACACGAAAATATTTCCTGGATTTCGGAATCCGAATTACCTGATCTTGGGCGGATCATTATACATTTCTGGGAAACTGCCCACCTACCCCTCCCCTAAGCCAACATTTTGCCTTAAGTGAAAAGCAAGTGTTGATGTTGGCTCAGGGGAAGGTAGGTGGGCAGTTTCCCAGAAACGTATAATAATCACATGGGGCAATTTTGCCGGTATCATGTTCCACTTTCAGCGCCAGCAGGCATTTTTACTTTGTAACCTTGCTTATATTGGGTCTGTTAATAGATATGATGTATATGAATATTTTTGCAGCATGTGTATGAAAGTTCCTACCATAGTGGAAGAAGCCCAGCAAGCATTGCAGGCAGGATATTGTGTGGTCATTGGTCTCCAGTCCACTGGAGAGGTTTGTTTTCTCTTTCTCTCCAATTTTTTTTCGTATCCACTCCAAACGGGTACAGTTTCTGATAACATAAAAATTTCTTTATTTCAAGGTTAGCCATTGTTTAAAAAGTAATGTTTGAGACACTGAGAACTTCTTGCAAAGTTAGTAGAAAGTACGTACCAAATAATTGTTCGCCCCTCACATTGTATAGAGAGTTTCACATAACATTGTAGGTTCTATTAGTGGATGCACTTGATGCAAGGCTATCGCTACAAGTATTTTATGACCCTTAAGGACGTATGTACGGTCTACGCAGTATTTATGTTTGACAAAACAAAAAAATGGTTGGATTGTATCGAGAACGCACAATTCGTGTATAAAAAATTCCTGCAAATTGCTGGATTTGGCCGCTGGATGTATAATGGCCATCGTATTTTCCCTGCAATAATGTTATTTCGTTGGTCCAGCAATTCACCATTCAAGGCGGATTTTGTTCATCTGAAAAGGGATAGGCTACTGCAAGACTATTAATTTTGTCCAGAAGGCATGATCGACCACAGGTCACTAGATTTCGTAGGTTATGGGCCATTTTTGATAATTTTACTCAGGTATTGTTCAATGACCGACGGTTGTTTACTTACTACTTATAAACCGAGAGTGAGGTCTATTATACTACTATATGAGAAATTTCTGCAATTTGATTGGCTTAGAGCAGTGGTATTTCAGCTTAATTTAAAATACCTACATGTGAAAATTACAAACCTTGTGTGGGTAGTAGTATAAACAAATAATAGCATGATTAGCACGTGATATTTGGCATAAATACCACTCATGATATTTCAAAATTGTCGCAAATTTCACTCGCCTAACGGCTCGTGAAATTCCGTATAACAATTTCGAAATATCACTTGTGGTATTTATGCCAAATATCACTACAAACCATGCTATTACCTATACAAATTTGTCTATAATTTTCTATTCCTTGAGGACGGCTAAAAATTTGTAGATGACCTTCCATTCACGTACAATTTTCGAAGCTTATCTCATAAAATTCCCCACGATTTTCTGAAATTTTATTTTTCACATTTTACTTTCCAAGTTAGGCTGTTTTTCGTAGAAAAAAGGAACCTAAACTTTTCGGATTCAAAAATGTGGTGGCGAGAGGAATCAGAAAATTTCTCACTTTCGTAATACGTCAAATTTCTTCTAAAATTTCGGAAAAATAATACTCAAGCCTTTGTAATTTTGAAAAGACTCAAGTTCCCCAAGGATGACCAAACAGATACAAATTTTACGCGCCGTTTAGAATGCATTTCTAGATATCTAAAAAGTACTCTGGATAGCCTGAAAAGGAAACCATCGTTGGCTGCCCCGATTAATAACTTATTCCTTTCTCTAAACGGCAAAACTAGCCAACAAAATGAAAAAACCTGTACTAAATATGATTGATACCCCAGTACATTCTAAATCGAAAAAAAGCTATCATTTAAGGTTTTGTCAGCCTCAAATCAGCAGAAAAGTAAGAATTTTACTTATGTATTTGCCAGAAAAAAAAAAACATAATGATATACATACAGACATGCAATATATTGTAAAAAATGTTATTTAAAGATTAAAAAGGCGTAAATTGTAAGTAAAAGAATTAAAAGTATTTTTCTGACGAGAAAGTTCAAACAGAAGCCTTGGGCTTATTATATGAAGAATATTCACTCCGTGGGTCGGAAAATAACATTCTAAAAAAAGAGTGTTTTCGTCGATAACACAAGCATCAATTTTGTTGTCGACAAACCGCAACTCTTTTTCCTAGTCTGTGTGACAATCTTTGATAAGTAACGCTAATATCATCGCCCCTTTCTCGACAAATAAAAATAAAAAAACTTTTAGAGTTTACAAATGCAACCTCCCGCACATTGCGTTTTACTAAGTTGCAGCTTACTATTTGTAAGTAACTTGTAAGAAAATAGTAATCGAAATCTTTGGATCACAGAACTCTTTGACAGTTTTGTTCAAAATCCAAGACTGTCGGTAACCTAGGATCGTTGCTATTTAGAGAGGTCATGGTCTCAAAAGTTAATACCCACTTCGAGTCCTTAGTAACTGTCAAGCGTGATCATTCGAACAATGAGTATTGAAAACCAAATTATTTTTTTAAATGATTTTTTGTTTTGCATTTTGAGCTAATGCGCTCATGCGATTAAAAACGATAAAGTCAGGGACGAAGAATTATACCCATATTTTTCTATTCTTGACTTTTATCGTCAAAAATTGAAACTCTTCCTCGTTCCGTGGTTTCTATTGTCGGTCGCGTGATATGCGAGATCAGGCAATAAATCTGAGACACACGAACCATTAGACGAACTTGAATAAATTAGTCTCGCCTAAATAGAAGATGGCGCTCACGCTTAGTTCGCTGGTGACCAATGTGAAATCGGCCTTCCAAAACCACTCAGGTTCCATAAGAAACACAACTGTCGCCTTGCTGGTGTTTGGCCTGAATGCCGTCGTATGTGCCAGAGTGAAGATTTCTTCCAGTGTCCTCCAGACAACTTTGTTTTCTACGCCAGCTGTTTCTTCATCATTCCTGCCTTGTTTTTGTTTATCGCGACGAGTTTTCTTCACAGCGGATTTTGGGACCATGTTCGTGGATGCTGTTATTACGAAGGTCAGAACAAGCGAGGAGCAAAACGGTACTGCTGTTGTTTGTTTCCAAGATGGCCTTCCAGCAAAGCTCTTGTGGAAATCGTATTCCAAAGTTCTCTGTCTGGGTTCATGTAGATTTTCTGGGCACTCTTGCAGCGTGACTATTACATCTGCACCGCTCTCGGAGGAACGAAAGCAGCTAAATTAATCAGTGCCTCAGCTGCGCAAAAGTTACAAATCGAAGCAGATTACGCGAACGCGGGAAAAAATTCACAGACGGCAGCGTTGCTCGTGCTAGCTGGAGCGTTACTTACAGCTTTCGTTGTTGTTTCAGTTCAGCGATGCTGTTATCAGCATGAGTTCGGCACTTTACCGAGTCCGTACCAGTATAAGAAGCTCGAGTCAGAAGCTGCTGTGGAGGCCTTTAAACTGAACATGGAAAAACTCGCGAAAGGACAAGGCAAGAGGCGTGCCGACATGTACTTTGCTACCATGAACAAGAAAAACCCGTCTGACAGCCTTAAGAGTGCCTATGAAAATCTCGTGGCTGTGAGCAAATTTGACGAAGAAGATTATCAGGAGCTCCAAGCACAGGCGGTTATAGGCATCTCCAGGGATGATAGAGTCTCCAACACAGAATTGCTGCGCAGAGCCAACATGTCATGCATTAAGGCACTCATCATGAAACCAAAGGTGCGGGGGGTGGACATGTGGTTCGAACGGACGACGCGCGCCTCCCGAAGATGGTCTTCTTCTCTGACCTGGCTACCGGTGCGCGTAGCATTAGACACCCTCTGAAGAGGTTCAAACAAAGCCTGAAACAAAAAACTAAATTGAATCCCATTCTTGGATGAGAAACCGTCACCGCAAACCCCAGCGCCCGGAGAATGGCCGTCCACAAGGGCGTTCAAGGCTTTTTAAAAAGCGGCTGTACAACCTCGACCAGGCCTTTCGGAAGGCCGGGTTCTAGTTGCGCGAAGGCTGCGTCTTAGCGATTGAATCGATCTAAACGGTTTCTTCGAGTTGCTTAGGGTAGGCCATTATAACTGATTTTTTTTGTAAATTTACAAAGGATGGGGAGTGGAAAGTAATAGACAAAGAACTACTCAGCAGCCAAGCGTCAACAGGAAAAGGTCAAGCGAAGCCTTTCCCCGCCATGCCGCCTGTAATCGGAAAAACAGACGAGGATCTCAGCAGTGACGAAAAATACGAGGAGGAAAGCTTTCGATCTAAGCAACTCTTTTTATTTGCTTGGCAAATTGCTAAAAGAATGGTAATTACTATATGATTATTTTCTGAGCGACGTTGCTTCGATTCAGTTTCTGTTTTTATCATTCAAAGATCGGTTTCAGACTATTTCAGAAGCAAGAAAGAAAGGACATATGGGTTAATTTTCTAGACGAAGAATGATTTGATTTTTTTTTATTAGAATGTCAAATTAGTTTTAGTGGAGAAATTGTCTTAGTCGATCGAACCAAATTTGGCATGTTTCGTATAATCTTGAATCAGTCGTTCAGATCAGTTCAGTTCAGTATTTTTCTTTTAATTGTTTGCCCCTAATTTTCTCGCCTTCACCCATGCCCTTTTAGGCAGTAATAGTCCTGTAACTGAAGTATTTTGGTACTTATTTTCATTTTTCCTCCTTCCTTCTGAAAATTAGAATCATCTCGCCGAAACAATCTTGTTCACAGAGACCTTGCTGCCCGTAATGTTCTTGTTGGCCATGACAACCAAATCAAAGTGTCAGACTTTATGTTGATGAGACAAATCTATGAAGATGTGAGCAGCTCAGCGAAGTCCAAAAAACTTCCTGTGAAATGGATGGCCCCAGAATCACTCTATCAAGGCCTATACACTACCAAAAGTGATGTGTACGTACAAAAGATTCCCACTCTTTTAAACACATTTCGATACATTGCTGCTGAGAAAACCTCAGCTACCCTAAAAATCGTGATCAGTGAGTTTAATTCAAACCGATCTAGAATTCCAGTGGTTAATATAGTGGGTAATTTCGTAATTGTCAGCGCAATTTTGACTCAGGACGATATATAGTTTTCATAGTCAATAGCGAGAGCGGCGTCTGTTGAATTCTTAAATCAGAGTGTATGTAAAGATCACTTAGAAGCTTTCCTTTGCCGGGAAAAGTTTACGAATATGCGACAGACCCGTCACGTAAATTGGTATTGATTTCCCTACTCTATTAACCTTGCTAGGCCATTTGCTAAGGGCTTTGAGCATCTGAGGCCTGGTGTCATAGGGTTTAGTCAAGCGCGAAGGCACGGAAAGGTGGACACACGCCCTTTTCCCCTTAAGTTCGTCAAGTAAAAAGAAGAGGAGGAAAATTTATAGCGTTTATGCAGTGGGTATATTCATGACCTTTGTGCTTTTCTCTACAGTTGGTCTTTTGGTGTTGTTCTTTGGGAGATAGCTACATTGGGTGAGTAGACCGTCACACTCTGATCTTGTTACCTTCCAAGGGGAGTGAGATCCCAAAGACTGTCCTCCCTGGTGCCACGGGGGATATGACTTGAATAGTGCGACTAGCCTGATATTAAAGGACGACACTGGGACTTTTAAAAGAGTGAGTCCTTACTAGATAAGGTTATTGCCATCAGGAAACAGGCTGATACCTGATCAATTGTATTTGTGGCAAGCCATGCCAGTAGGTTTTTTTGTTTTGAACTAGGCTTTATGTCTGAAATCATAAATAAGTGATAATCGGCATCAAATATGTACGCATTATAGAGAGTATTATTACTAAGCACCATGCTTTCTTTCTTTCTTTCTTTCTTTCTTTCTTTCTTTCTTTCTTTCTTTCTTTCTTTCTTTCTTTCTTTCTTTCTTTCTTTCTTTCTCTCTCTCTTTCTTTCTTTCTCTCTCTCTCTCTTTCTTTCTTTCTTTCTTTCTTTCTCCCTTTCTTTCTTTCTTTCTTTCTTTCTTTCTTTCTTTCTCTCTCACATTTAAATCCAACTGTGACCCCTATTCAATCACTATTGTTTTGCAAAACTGCATTATTGAGTGCGGGTCCGGGGAATGAAGAGTCGTGGACGTTGACATTTCCAGTAGAAATCTATCCAAGGGAATGAGCCGTATTTTCAAATAATAACATGTATATTTTTTTCTTTCTCATAACGTGATCAGGAGGCGTACCATACGCCACGCTGACCAACTCAGAGTTGTATCGACTGCTTGGCACTGGTTATCGCATGGAAAGGCCTGACATGTGCTCCGATGATGTGTACGTTCCTTGATCAGAATGGTCTTAACGTTTACAAATAGATTCAAATTCCGTGCGTCTTCTTAGTTATAAATTATAGCAATGAACGTGGCAGAATACAAGTCGGTTGGCGATTTTGACGTTTTTTTCGATCAAATTGATTACTGAACAGACGGACGGCAAAATCTTAGCTTAAATATTTGTTTCATCCAGCAATATGATAGTGTTAAGACTGTAACAGAGATCGACTGCAAGGATTTTTTCTCCATGTTCGATATTTCCTTATGGTAATTCATTAAAACTGGGTATTTTTCTCTTACCTGGTAACAGCTTTATTAGCAAAATTTGGCGATGTTGGCTAAGTCTTTAAAAACTTTAAACAACATGTCCAGCAGACCATTCCAAAACCATCTGGCACACGAGGGTCCCGACGGTGTCGTATTTTCTCTCGTGTGCCACTCGCGTGTGTACTTCTCAAGCGATCGCCCTAAGTGTAGAGCTTGTTCGCAAGCTAGGTATAAGAAACCGACAAGCCTAATGATCCGGCGTGAGTGGCTCCCAGCTGGTTTAAAGGAAAAACTTTTCTACTAAAGTGTCTTACGGGGTGTCTTAAACGGTTTTTTTGTATGTAATAATGGATTGGAACTCTGACTAACTTAAATTGTTGTATTTTTTTTATTCATAGCAGATATGAGCTTATGACTGACTGTTGGAAGGAGGAACCTCTCTCTCGTCCCAGTTTCTTTCAGCTGATCGAAAAACTGGAGGTGATAATGAAGAGGGATGCACCATACTTGGATCTAAACAAACATAATGAAGATCATCCGTATTACAACGTTCCCCCTGAAGCTAGTGGTGATTAATATGAAGAAGGAGTTTCCCCAATAATCAGACAATCTCAGACCAAACGAGTATAAACAGTTAACTAGTAATGATTATCGAGAAAGTAATCTTAAAACGTTTGAAGGAAGTAAAAGTAGAAGCATAACAAAAACCGTAGTAGCAGTCAGTAGTAGTAGTCAGCGGGATCATAAGCGCGCACAAAGTTTTGGCAGAGGAGCTGCAAAGCCGCTCGGCTTGGGAAAGGGAAGGAAAGGTTTTGAAATTCCCTTGCAGCTTCACAGCTAAAAGTGTCGCACGGGCGAAAAACAAAAACAGGCCAGCTGATCTGACATGCAGACCAAGCGTACTATGGTTGTTGCATGTTGTACAACAGGGAACTTAAGAACCACGGCGAAGTTCACGAAAACGACGTCGGTTGACTGGGAAAAGACTGGAACGAGAACGTCAGTTTTGGAGGCAAAAAGGAAACTTAAGATGCAGTCAGTCGGTAAGTCGACGACTGACAGGGCTGAATAACGTACTACGCATGTCCGTGACATCACTTGTTTACTAGTCTAGCCCGTGCGCCAAGCACTCGCGCAAAGTGAAATTCTAGCATCTGAGACCATTTTATCTTCGACCATCTAAACTCATATTTGTGAATGCCGACAAAGGAGAAATTCTACGAATACGTTTAGAAATGCAACTCATGGAAAGAAATGTTATGTAATCCAGGGATCAAGGAAAATGTTTTTGACCGTCCCGGCGAAGGTTTTTCATTAGGGACTTTTAGCACCGACGGTTTTCAGGACGGCTACGGCGAACTAGATCGCGCGGGACTGGGGATACAAGGCGCCGTCCGCACAAAAGCCCGCGAAAATAAAAATAGTTTAGCAACCAAAACAATCCCTGACTACGGCGTGAACGAAATAGTCGGAGAGACTCGGACACAAACCTAGGTATTTAGGGGAAAATGTCCCTAAAGAAGGCTCGAGAACATTTGCTCTATGCATTAGATGAAAGGTTAATTACAGAAGAGGAGTTTCTACTCCTGTATGATGTGAATAGGTCAACTAACTTAGATTTTCCTTACGAGCAGTACCCACTTTTTGATCTCGACGACATGCAAAACGACGAGTGCTTGGCGGAGTTTCGGGTCCATAAACACGACCTTCCTATTCTAGCGGAGGGTTTAGGAATTCCTGACCAATTTGTCTTGGAACAAAGAAGTGTTGTAGGAGGAATGGAGGCACTATGCATGTTGCTGAAGAGGCTGACATACCCGTGTCGATACAGTGATTTGTTGCACAGGTTCGGACAACGACCTGTATCGGTAATTTGCCTGGCTACAAACTGTGTTCTGGACTTCATTTACGAAGCCCATTGCCGAAGAATTACCGACTGGAATCTGGCCGTATTGAATCCACCTGCCCTGCAAACGTATGCTGATTGTATACATCAACATGGAGCACCTCTAGACAACTGTTTTGGTTTTATCGACGGGACAGTGCGTCCGATAGCCAGGCCAGGAACAAACCAACGAATCCTTTATAATGGCCACAAGCGGGTACACAGCTTAAAATTCCAGGCTGTAGCCATCCCAAATGGTCTTATCGCCCATTTATATGGTCCAGTTGGTAAGAATCTGATGTATGATCTCGTAAAAATAAAAAACATTTGCTAGGATTACTGTGAAATTTTGCCAGTGAAGTGTCCCATATTTGAAGAAGATTAATGCATATAAAACATATCGGAAAAAAACAGGTCAGAAACAGAAAAAAGTTGTACAGTTTTACACTGAAGGAGGTTTACTATGTTTGCCATCCATATACAGGAATTAGCATTTCCCAGTCAGAATGCTTGACCATACCGAAGGCACTTTCCTTTTTGCCTTTCAGAGGGAAGAAAACACGACGCTGGAATGCTCAGAGAATCAGGATTGCTCCCCATGTTGCAACACAATGCAATATCCCCTACTGGCCAACCACTGTGTGTGTATGGAGACCCTGCGTACCCTTTGAGGGTCCACTTGCAAGCGCCTTTTCGACAGGGTGTTGGGTTCCTCTCCCAAATGGCTGCTTACAATAAAAGCATGAGTGAAGTCAGGGTCTCCGTAGAATGGTTATTTGGGGACATAGCCAATTATTTTAAATTTCTGGACTTCAAAAAAAAAAATTAAAAATAGAGCTCAGTAGTGTTGGGAAATTATATGTGGTATCTGGTCTTTTAAGAAATGCACTTACTTGTCTTTATGGCAATCAAACCTCCCAGTTTTTTGGACTGGAGCCTCCACACATTCAGGATTACTTTGCATGAAGAGAACCATAAAACCTTAGCAATCATTACTAGCTTTCCAACTGGACAATGTAAAAGGGTAATAAAACCATCCAGCTACAGCCTGTAAGTTTAGACTGTATTCTTTGTCATGTCCATTATACAGATATCTGATTTTTTTCCAGTCAGCTCAAGGGCATTCTGTACCCTTGATTGAACCAAACCAGTTATCTTACGGTTCTTTTCTTTTCACTGTATACAGTCAACATAACTGTAGATCAGATGGGTTTACTACAAGATTCTTCTCTGTCTTTTTTTTAATTGATGTACTTCACAAAGTTAAAATCAAAAAGCAATGATAGCACTGTTTATAGATGTTGAGAGGTTCTAAAAACCATTCTTGAGCAGAATAATCATTGCCGTTACTACTTGATGTAACTTACTGGGCTACCTGTAGACATCAACTGAAAATAAAATTCTAGTCATGCATAGAACTGTAGTCATCGAAGAAAATCTCTGCAATTAAGTGCGGGATTCTCATTAATAGTTTATTTAAGGCAATCCACAAATACACCACTATCTGACTTCATTACCAGTCGAGAGAACAAACCTGTTTCCAAAGGTTGTTTAATGTCCACAAACTTGATAAAACTATACTCAAATAGATTACAACAGATTAATTAATCAAATCTACATGACTATTAAATGGACCCTGCCAAGCTAAAAAAGGGCAAGACAAAATGTCATATTTCACACTGAAGGGTACTTTAAAGCAACGAGGAAAGTTTTTTACTGTGGCTTTTTAAGAAGACTTTGCATTACATTCATAAAATGTGGTTGTTGCTGCATTAGCAAAGCTGTCATGTTTTGACTCTGCTGTTGCTGTTGTTGCATTACTCTCAACATCTCCTGCATCTGGGTCTGGCCTTGCTCTGCCCGCTTTTCCTGTAGTGCCACCTCTGCCTTTTTCAGTTCCAGTTCTTGCTCTCGTACCTTTCTTTCTGCCTCGCTTTTTTCTCTAAGGTATTCTATAGTCTCATCTCCACCTCTGCGTCTTCGTTTAGTGCTCACTGCTTCACGCTCTGTCCCTTCCTGTCGTTTCTTAGTCTGGCTTACCCTTTCCATAGCTGTCTTTCTAATGCTTTCTGCCTTTTCTCTGTCTTGGTTATCTTTCTTAGCAGCTGCAGCATTCCTACTCTCTTCGCTATCTTTCTCCTTCTCAGTGATATCTTCCAATAACCGGTCCAATTCTGACATTTGTGTTGATGTTCCACTGCTTGCCTCATCCTTTTTGTTTTTTTCTTTATACTTAGCTTGTAATAGTGCAAACCTCTCCCTCACTGATCTCTGCTTTACGGCAAACTTTAATTCTGCAGAACTATTGAGCGACCTTGCTATCTTCGACCACACTTCACCTCTGTCAGGACTTCCTTTTTTAAATTGAAAAGGGTCCTCAAACGCAGTCTCTCTCAGCAACATCAAATCATGGTCTTGGGTCCACTCCATTGCAGCCCTACAGTAAGACAAAATAATCAGACCCGAGTTTTTAACCTGACTAGCCCCTCAGCTATTCAGGGATTCTAGATCACGGCTGAGAAATAACATACAAATCATTGAATCTTGGAAATGATGCTACAAATTTTATCAACAAACAGCGAAACAATTAGGAAAATTCAACCGTGATTCCACTGATTCCAGCTTAAATCAGATTTTTACAATGTTCGCTCAAATAAAAATTGTCAGTCAAGGACTGTAAGTGGCTACAGCTATAAGTTTAATTATTCTTTCTGTTTCATTTCCTATCTTGCACTGAAAAACTTGTTCGCGACAGTAGCCACTTGCAGAGAAATTTAAAGGAGGATGTCCTTCAATGAATACTGCCCGTTATCACGTCCAGCAACTCATATGAGCACGTTTAAATGCTTCTCGCCTTTCATTTTGATGCCCGACTTGAAGCTGAACACCATCAAGAGTTGTATATAAAAATTAAAGCAGGCAAAAAAGGCATGTTTTGTCTGGTTATAAAAAAGATATTCGGCGACTGAAACATAACAATAGATAAAAACTTGAAAGAGAAACCCTCTTCCAAACGTTAAGAAACAATTTAGATAAAGAGTATTAGCGTTATATATCAAAATGAAACCGGAAAGGACAAGCAGAATCATGTACAAAAATAAACTCACTTGGGATGCTTTTCGACCGACATGTGTCTTCCACACCTGTGAAAAAAGCGTAAATAAAGGAAAAATATCAAACCAATTCTAAAGAAAACTGGTCTAAATTTATGAAGAAAAGGAATAAGAAGTTGTTTTTCAAATGAAAACACTAAAAGTCAATTAAAAGGTTAATAAAATACTCACCTAAAACTCCCGTAGTCGCCAGTACGTCAAACTACTCGGTTTGCCGTACTAGGAAAGGCCGCTACGGCGGCAAGAAATCGAGGGTGACACTCGCGCGCGCGAAAAAGAGTCTGACTTCATTTCCGGTTCCCGTAGCCGTCCTGAAAACCGTCGGTGCTAAAAGTCTTTATTGTTTTGATGCAGATCGTCAGTAAGTTTGCAGAAATATGACTGAGAAATTAAAAAAGAGCAATGTGCTGGAGTTTGGGCGACTTTTCTTCGATGGTACGTAAACGATTTACTTTAACATTACTTTATTCTGGTTAAGGAGGAGCAAATATTTGTAATGTAGGCCGAGCGATAACAGTTGTTGACCGTTTCTTTTGACTTGGTGGCAAGAAAGCCGGCTTTGAGCGCGATGATACCATCAGACACAAGAAGTCATGAAAGTCATAAACTTAGTTACAAATCTTAGTGCGATCAAAGAAGCTTTTACGTACCTCTAGCCGGCTTAGAGGCGCTGGTCGAGCTGTAGAATCAGTATTTATTCGGTAAAGTTTGTTTAAAATTTAATTTGCACCTTTAAGCTTATTAGTGAATAAACCTTTAAAAGTTTAAAGCTGTTGAAGTTTTGGGAAACAATCACAAGTTGGCTCAGCTCTATGTGAGTTTTCGTATTAACTATAGGTTTTCCTTTTATTACAGGTTTGAATGAAGCAGAAGAATCAAGGAATGAAGATCTAGACTTCGAAGAGAAAAATAAATGAAAGTTTGTAAAGAGTCAGATTGTGCTTCTCCCTGTAATGAAGCTTTTTAGAAAACTTCAAGTCATTGATACTTTTACCAGCAAGCATCGACTGTATTACTTGCCCATTTACTCTTTTCAACATTAATTTTGCCTGTTGTCATATACAAAAATTTATAATAGCTCTTTTGAGCTGAGCCAAGAATGAGTCATAAAGGGAAACAAGTTTGGAAGAAAGAACTTGATTGAATTCGAAACCTCAGTGATTGTTTTGTGTTCTTACAGTTCTTATAGTGAAACCAAGCGAGATATAACAAGAGAAATAACTAAAGGACGATCATTCAAGGAAAAACAAAGATAAATAAAATGTACCTTTAATGCTGACACTGATATGATGTCCGGACGATTTCTTAGAACTGATAACATATTGATAATCTGTACTTTCATGTGTTTACGCTTGAAAATGTACACATTCGAATGAAAGAACTGTTTTCGGCTTCGTCCGTGCATCTTCTTTTGTTCATAGCAAAAAAAGGAAAAAAATTACGAAGGTGGAAACGAGAATTCAATAAAATATGAAATAATCTACCTTTAGTTTAAATGGGAGCCTTGAATATTCGGAAACCACCTTAATAATCGCCAAAATGTGAGGATGTTTTGAAAATCGCTTTGCAAACGATATTATAATTGCAGGGATGATTCGTTCGTGCGTCTTCTTTTGTTCATAGAAAAAAGTAGAAGAAAAATTACAAAGGTAGAAACGAGAATTAAATAAAGTATGAAATAATCTACCTTTAGTTTAAATGGGAGCCTTGAATATTCAGAAACCACCTTAATAATCGCCAAAATGTGAGGATGTTTTGAAAATCGCTTTGCAAACGATACTATTATTGCAGGGATGATTCGTTCGTGCGTCTTCTTTTGTTCATAGAAAAAAGTAGAAGAAAAATTACAAGGGTAGAAACGAGAATTGAATAAAGTATGAAATAATCTACCTTTAGTTTAACTGAGAACCTTAAATATTCAGAATCCACCTTAATAATCGCCAAAATGTGAGGACGTTTTGAAAATCCCTTTGAAAACGATACTAGGTTAGATTCCAGACCTCTCCCGTCTCGGCACATGCGCAGACCTTGTTCAGCTCTGTCTCGACGACTACGACACTGAATGTAAACACAAATGTAGAACTGTGATGTTCGTTCGCAACAAAGTTTTTTGAAATGGCGTCGTTTAAAACAATGCAAGATCTTATTTTTAAAAGCGTACGTCTAATTTCATTGACGATGAAGAATTTTTTGTGTTGTCTGACCTTTTCGAGTGGAAAAACGCCTGCTTTCCGCACAAAGATTATTCAACTTTCAACCTGAATGAGATGACCGAGTGCGAGTGTCTGTCAGAGTTTAGATTTGGAAAAAGAGACATTCTGATACATGTGATAGCTGTTTTCCATATAAAGTTTATTTCCTCTATATTATGATTTGCCTTCCCTAAATACGTACAAGTAAATTTCTCACTTACGAGTTCGCTTGCTCGGCTTTCACAGCTGTTGTCATTCTTCGAAGTAAAAACAATTCATTATAGTACACTTTTAGTCGAATTTTCAATCAACATCGCTTGTTAGGAGAAAAAAGGAACGATACCTGGATTTGCGAGGTTAAGAAAAAACAAAGGACTTCAAAAATCGCCTAAAACAGTGGATTTATACCTGCCGAACCTTCTGGATTGCAGGACGACGTGATTGTACTATGTTTGGCGTCGTCGACGACACCACGACGACGAAATTTACTGGTCGCGCTTCCGCAGTACTCTGTAACTCACTTCCGGTCGTCGTCGTGGTTCTTAAGTTCCCTTTTGTTAAATAGAGGTTCGTTAAATCGAGGTTCCATTGTAGTTCAGTTCATACGGGGAAAAAAAAGCGTCCTTTCCAATTCCTGTCCTTCAGGCCCCGGTTGTTCAAACGTTGGATAGCGCTATCCACCGGATAAATCGCTATCCAGCGGATAAGTGTTATGCTTTCCAACTGCGTTATCGAGTGGATCGAAATTTATCCAGTGGATAGCGCTATCCACCTTTTGAATAGCCTGCGAGCCGCAGACGTATTTCCGGTCGCCGCCTCTCTCCCTCCGAAAAAAGCGTCCGCTCCCCGCGGACTACCTTGTCAACAACTGGAGCGAGATTGGTTTGTGGTCACGCACGCTCTCGTCACTTATCGATCCGGTCCATAAGGTAGTAGCTAACCTGACCTAGTATTTATCACACCGTCACAAAAACGAACTTCCTTATTACTGGCTAAAACCTGCGTCAGTTCTAGCCGAAAGAGAGCTGAGAAGCCGTGTGGCATGCAACTTCACTTTTTGCGTAAGTCAAACATCGGTCAAACAAATGTGACAAGGTTTTTTAGTTCTCGCGCGCCCGCAAGGGGGGGTTGGGGGGGTCTCCCTTACAAGGGGATAATGGGGATGTGCCGCTGAATGGGGTCGCAAATTTTCGGATTTTTGGCGTAAGTAGGAATTTAAAATGGGAAAATTCTCGGTTAAAAAAAAAAAACAGAAAATTGTTGTTTATTCAATTTAACAATAAGCTCGCATTAACCGCATTGCACTCGGCCGCTTGAAACCAGTATTGACAAGGTAGATGCATAAATAGAAAGTGACTAATTTGGGATCGCAAAAATTACATTTTCCAAAAAGTGACTAAGATGGGGTCTATAATTGGCCAAAAAATAGACTAAAATGGGGTAGGGTGTCTGAGAGGCCAGCGGCACATACCCAGCAAACTCACCTCCCATCCCCCCTCCCCGCCCAGGCTCGTGCGCCACTCCTCATGAGTGGGATTATTAATACAAAGTTCGATCGACGACTGCAACCTCTAACAGTCGATTTATCAATCATAACTTTCTGCAGGAGCTGATCGTACTCGTAAGGGTCCGAAGCTGGGCTAAAAGTATCAGATTACTGCATCCAAAGCGAGACGCGAGCCTCAATTTCGCTGTTCGGCAACATTTTTCTTGTTTTTTGGCCATCTTAGCTTAAGAAGAAACAAAGCAAACTGCTTCTCTAAACATAAGGAAATTTAAACGTCTTTCTGGAAAGAACTAAAAAACACTTAAACTTGATGTTTCACATGTTCCAACATTCATTTTCAGAAGTAATAAACCGTTGAATCAGCAGTGTGATTTAGACTAAATGTAGAATAATTAACTAACTTAAAGAAACAAACGATGACATATGGCAAGAAAATTTGCATACAATGAGAAACAGCACGCAAGCTAAAGGGTCGCTAAAAAAGGTAAAGTTTTTCACTACACTGCAGACAATTTACGCCCGGTGATAATTGTGATCAGAGAAGTTAAATATGGCGCGCCATCTGTAGCAAAATCCCTTTTCGATGACATAAAACGAAACGTAACGAAATTCTTAAAATGTAACGAAATACAACGAAATGAAATACAAATGCCATGAAACAAGATACCAATACCATGAAATCCAATCATCGAAATATGCCCGTTGCCATGGCTATATAAGGTAAGATGATCTTTTCGAAATGCATTTGTCTGGTTTTCTTTTCTCCCCTACCCTACCCTGTGTGGGAGTTAGTGGGTCATTGTCGTTCCCAGATCTCTCAAGTCCGGGGATTTTTACTGAGACTATTGTGTTCTTCCTTTATCTCTCCGGTGTTTTTTCATTGTCCGCTTTCATTTTAATTTATATTGTAGTCTGGTGAATCGTTTTTGGTACTTTTCACTTTAATTATTAGCTTTTAGTTTGATTTTGTCGTGTTTTTATCTTTGCTAGATAGGTTTGTTTCGCTGCCGCTGCATCATGTATGGTTTCGCACGCGAGCTGTTCCTTCACTCTGTTGACGATGAATTCATATGCAGTATATGGTAGGTATATACAGAGGATCATACTTCATAGTTTATTTTCCATTGCATTTACACCAGTTTAGTTTATTAGTTAAAGTGGTTTTTAACGTCGGTTTTGCCACTAGGTGTGCTCGATTAAACACTGGTTCTTTGTGTCGTGTACTAGTCACGCCGCAACGATTCATCCTCCTCAGATAATAATATTTAGTATATACACACTCAGTGATCTTGGTGATTTAAGCAATCTGATTGGTTCGCTATCTCGGACTATTCAACAATATTCACCTCCTAGCGAGTGGATAATGTGTGAGCTCGGTGTTTTTCCCGTTTTTTTTAGAGAACGATCTTTTAAAAGTCGACAAAATCCTAGGGCTGACTTTTTTTAAGGCAAGAAAAGACTTGGAAGGATTCAATACGGCGTTTTTCAATTTACTGTAGCAGGAGTTTTGTGCTCGATGGATTGTTTACAACTCCCGTGTATTCGCGTAGAAGAAGCCGTTTCGTGAACTCAGCGTTTTCTAAGAAGAAAATTTTGGCTCAAAAATCGAAGTTTATTTATGACAAACAAATTTAAAAGGAAATGTTTGCAGAAATTCTACATTTCAAGTAAACAGGAAAAAGAATGATACAGGAAGACGACCTCTTACCTCGAGCAACCGAGCCGCCATTTTTGTCAGCACTTCATGCGAAGAACGACACAACATGCCCTTTTGGCTATAAACTTGGCGAGTCAACAGAAAACAACACAGCTCTACTTTTTTCTCAGGTAAGGAAACAGTTCAAACTTTTAGCGATTCCATTGAAGCCATTACGCTGTTGTTTGCGAAATGAGTAAACTTGTGAATTGCCATGTTTGAAAATTCTGCAAAGATCTATTTTTAAACTTACGCGTGATTTGATCTGTCAATCAAATCCTACTTTTGAATGGTTTCCTTTCTGATTTTGTTGAGATCACTTCGTGTGTATATACTAAAACAATTATTCTTCTCAATCTCGGTGAATAGTGGCTTTGGGAATATTTACCTCGCCGCTTTCGCGGCTCGGTAAATATTTTGCCACTATTCACCTCGATTTCAAAGAATAATTGTTAAATAGATTTAGCCAGGGCTAAAAGCGAGGCTCCCATTAGTAAATTTATAATTTAAATTAAACAATAAACTTGTATTCGAATTCCACAATTCAGTTAACTTTAGAGCACATTTATGTGACTTTTGAGGGAAAGGCTACCTGATTTTAGAGAAAAATAATTTGCAAACAGCCCAAGAGTGAACCAAATCTTACATCGAGTTGATAGCCTCATATATGTACACTCAAAAACTGGTAATCATCTTTTATCACATTTAAGAGCCGTAATGGCTATTGATCACCGTAGATCAATTAGGCTTAGAAAAAAAACCAGGCCAACGTTTTGGAGTTCGACAAGTTTACTTTGCAAAATCTTGCCAACAAATCTGGGTGCGTGTAAACCAACCTTTTATACCATGGACAGAAAGCAGTATTTCACAATACAAATTGCTCTCATTCAATATTCATAAACTGTTAAAAAAATTTTCAAAAATCACCTATACGGCCATCCGGTTCTCACTTTTGTAGTGCGAGCTGTAGCGAGTGTTTGAATGAACATTAACAGAGTTACGCTCCAAGATAATAAAGAATTTATCATGTTTATTTTTTATTTGATGGTTTAACGCGCGGCATTTTGAGAACTCCTGCAAGCGATGTTCACTGAACGACTGAAAACAATCGGCATAGCGATTAAAATTGCAAGAGAGACTACTAACAATCAATAAAAGAAATATAATTCGGTGAAACATAAACAGAGACAACAATTTTCATTCAGGAAGACAAGTATTAAAGTGTCCCTAAATATCCTGAATCTTCAAGCTTCAAGCTTAAGTTTGCTGAAGTTTATGTTTTAAGCCAGCTTCCCGGTGTTTGTTTTTCAAAAGACGAACTCGAGGCAAGAAAATCGCTCAAAGCTTTCTTTTCCGACTAGAATTATAACTAAAGATTCTTTGGAACATTTTCTTTCTATTTGCGGTGAGAAACTGTCTAAAGGCTTTTTAAAGTTCTGTAAGATTATATCAAACCAGATACTCGGTGAGATCGTTGTCTCAAATCTTACAAACGCGCATAAACTAAATTCCCGCATAAACTACGCTCCACTTCATTAAATTAGATACAAAAAACAAACATGAAATACAATAATTTCTCTGGCTTACCATTCGAGATGCAGCTCCTGAAAGTTATCAGGTTAAGCCAGTATCGCTTCAGACTTTGCAATCCTCTTACGCATCAAGCAAGGTGAAAACGAAAACGATGCCATCCGAAATCGGATTTCCGACTTTGACAAGCGACGTTTTCTCAACCAAAACCCAATAAACAAACTAGCCATGAGTAACAGAAGACTCCTGATAGCAGCCGAATTTCATTTTGTACATCCAGTGGAAAAAAGACAGTTAAAAACATCACAAGTTGACACAAAACTCTGTCAGCTTCAGCTGTTAAAGTAAACAAGATTCAAGATGCTGCATAAATTTTGCGCATGAACTCACCTGTCAAATTTTGACCAATCAGAGCATAAAAATTGGACGTAGAGCGTGACCAACGCGTGACCATTGTGAGAAAAAACAAAAGCAACTGTCTTCCCTGCCTGTAACAGCTGGCTGAATTTTCACGTCCGAGGTCAGTTTGCAATCAAAGTTTTAATTGTGCAGCACATAAACACAACATATTTCATATGAATTAAGAAAAAAAATTGAACTTGAGCCTGCGATCACTTGAAAACTAGTTTACTTGTCAGCGGATAACTTCAAAAATACTTGACCTCGACGGGTCGACACCTGAGCCCGCGATACGGTCAAGTGATACTAGTCAGCGGGTACTCTGTTTTGACAGCTGTCAATTGATCAAAACATTGATGTCCAATATGTGTGCATTATCAGTTTTCCTGTGCTCCCAAACTAGTAAAAGTATGAGATTGAACGTTGTTCGCGATCTAGTAAGACAGTTAACTGGTCAGCGGACAGCTTCCAAATAAATCACGTCACCTCGATGAGTTGACACATGAGCCCGCGATATGGTCATGGGATACTGGTCAGTGGCTATCCTGTTTGGACAGCTGTCAATCAACCATATTGTTAATGTCCTATATTAAAGATGTGGACTTGCCAAGACACGCCTGAGACACCCCTCCCTTCCTTTTGATAGTCTCCCCTACCCCACCCATACAATCTGTAGACGCGTACGTACGTACGCTCGGTCAATCACGTGACAACCAAACGAAAAGAGGTTGACCATATTCCATGGTAAGGGGCTCTGTCCCACGCGCGCTTCGCGCGCGCGGGAGCCCCGCTAAAAACAACTACACAAAGATGGGGTGATATGGCGACAGCGACAGAGAAAAACCCAAATACAATAGTAGAATACCGACTGTGAAATACAAATACTTGTATTCTGGGTAGAATGTATTTGACTGTGAAATATATCTTTAAGTACTTGAGAGGGTTCAATTTATATATTTCGTTTAATATTTTGACGCATGTGCCTTAATATATTCATTGTTCAGCCATGGAGTTTTCAAGCAGCCCATGACCTGCCAAGATGGCCATTCATTTTGCAAAGACTGCATTACACAGTGGCAGCGAGTCAACACCCATTGCCCTGTGGACAGGTCCACCCTTGATCGACCGTTGGTTAGAAATCTCGCTGTGGAAGGTTCTATTGGTCGAAAGCTGATGAAATGCCCATCAACAGTCTCTCTTCCAGGAGGATGCAGCTGGACAGGCTTAGCATCTGCTGTAGAGCAACATCTCCCTTCCTGCGATATGAATGTTGTGGAATGCAAATTTAAAGTCAGGGGCTGTATTTTTCGGGCATATCAGCGTGAGATTGCTCAGCACCTCCTTGTTTGCCCCCATAGGACAGTTAGTTGCCTGTCCTGTGCTCGAGACATCCCACACAGTGATCTGTCAGCCCATGATGAAGAGTGCATTGGCAAACTTGTATCTTGTCCAAATGACTGTGGCGTTGAAGTTGCGAGGTACATTTGCATTGTTCATTCATTGTTTTCGGATAAGGTAACCCTGTATATCATAAGTTAAGGGTGACGTGAAATAGTTTGTGGTTGTTGGCCCCAGAAGAGATTACAAAAAGTAGTAATTAGTACCAGTGCCTGCTTGCTGCACAGGCTAGTACCCCTCCCTCTTTCTTAATGTATTGAAAGAAATATTTTTCATGTCTGATCAAGAACTAGAATATTCATTACAAATTTCTAGAAAACAATGTGCTTTTTGTTGTGATTCTCAACTAGGTGCAAGATGTTGTCACACTTGGCATTTTCATGTAACAAGGAGGGCCGGCCATGTCCACTGTACACTGTAGGATGCACAAAGGTTCACTCTTTAGCAGAGTCAGATCCTGGAGAACATGTTAAATTGCTGCTAACCGCTCGTCTATCAGGAGCATACGCTGTAAGTAACTTTTTTTCTATAGTTAAATGTGAAGTTTAATACTAACTCTTGAAGCATGTTCTTTCTTCTAGAATATACTTACAAATCTCAAGAATTGCCATACTATAACTATTTCTTATTTTTAGATGTTGTATAATCTTTGGGTGTGTGTAATGTAGTTTGTTATATTTATAATTATTTTTATTATTTTATTGTTAAGAAGAGAGTTTTTGGAGTTTCCATTCACTCCAATTATCTAGGTATTTAGTCATTCATCTATTTCATTCTTTAAAGTTTATTTTCCTTTTTTTCTAATGCATGTTGTGCACCTTTTTTGTCTTTTTAGGCTTCTGATGCAGGCTTAAATGGTATTTCCTTTGGTGGGTCATGGAAAATAGAAGGCGATGTGGTATTGCCCATTTGTAGCCCATTGTTTGAAGGTCATGCTGCTGTGGTCAGAATGGAAATTTTAAAAGAGAGTGGTATTTCCTGCAAGTTTCAGCTGGAGTCAAAGTTGCAGCTGCCCAGTTTTGCCATTGATTTAAGGTGGGTCAGTAGCCTTGAAATCTTATCGCTTTCTTTAAGAAGTGTTTACATAGAGATTTTTGCTTATATTAATAGCCTCAAAGTTTGGATGGACTGTATTTCTTTCTTGCTTTGTTTTTAGTATTTGTTTTATATTCCAGTAATATTATATTTCTTGTCATTTTTCAACAACAGGTGCTGTTTCCGTTCTGGGACTGAGAAAGTAAAGTTTAAAACTCCTACACGTCTAATGTGCCAAGACACAACTGCATGTGTTGAAATACATAATGTTTGCTCAGAGGATGATTTTGTCCAGCTGATGAGAAGTAACATTTTTTTCGTGGATTTTCTGCTGACCCTGTCTGTTTGATGCTCTGTTTCATACAGAGTTTTCAATTCTGAGAAGATAGAAGGGATAGGTGGCTTTTAGCTGACTCCTGATTTTCACATGTTGTGAATTCAGTTGAGTTTTGCAGCTAATGACCTTTCCTTATTTCTCCAAATTATGTATGGTAGTTGCTGACTCCTGTTCTGTGCAAATGAAAAATGTTTGCCTCTTCAGTTGAGTAGTAATTATTGCAGCATTCACCATTTAACAATTCTTCCTCAAGTCCGAATTGGATCTGAGTCGATAGCCCATGAGGCTGACGGCCGGATGGGCTATTGACTCAGGGGCCATGAGGGCGAGAGGAATAATAACGATTATTGTTTTAGTAAAATCCAACTAGTTTGCCAAAAATATCGGGACAAAACAACTTTAGCAAGATAACGCTACACTTAAATACTTTTTTGCTGCCAAGAAGCCGCCGCTTTTGGCTACTAGTGGGCTTTAACTTCTAGCCTAGTAGTAGCTCAAACAATCAGAATGCAGCATTGATAATAGACTACTACTTGGATTTTACTAATTATTAATAGCCAGGTTACACCTTGTCAACTCTAGTTAGACTCTGTAGAAAGCTCTTGTGGCTTAAGTGTGTCACTGAGATGTCCATTTGAAATCATCTGCTAAAGGCAGAGAGACACAGATTAATCTTCTTTTTGTGGCTTTGGGGTGGGGGTGCTGGTGGTGGTGGTTGCATCGTACATGTTTGTACATTTATACCTGGTATATAATCATCATGTCAGTTGACTTTTTTTGTTTGTTTTTTGTTATCTTGGATATTGTTATCCATGTTGATTTTGCTTTGGGTTATTATATCAAACAAATTAATGGCCATATCACCAGTCAAAATACAATTTGCAGTGTTTGAGTGAACAAAATTTAGCTACAAAGGAATATTTTTGCAGAACAAGAGGAGTGACAGTTGAGTCCATTGAAGTACTGGAATGCTATACAAATTGTATATACAGAATGCTTGTCATGTGAAAGGATTCTAGGCATATAATTGTAGTTGCATTCCTTCTTTTGGTAATGTAGTATCATTTTTAGAAATTTATCTTACAGTTGTACCTTGTTTCAATACACATGTCTCTAATCTTTGTATATCTGAAAAGTTTGGCCTTCGTAGGATGGGCCTTTAAGAGCTTGAGCCATGGTTCCTACCCAGATTTCCTGCCTTAATTTTTTCCCACTGGGTTTTTTCCAGCAGGTTTTTTCTGGCCTCCGTTCTGACAGTAATGTTGTTTGTAAACTGTCGCTCAGCTCTTCTTTAGGTTATGTACCATATAGTTGATATTAATTATTGACAACAACAACAACAACATCTTTCATTTAAACACGATGGGTTTTAAAGCTAATGTAGCTTATGGGGCTGTGTAAAAAATGTTAATAAAATAATAAAAATTATATTTAAATAAAAAATTTGAATGTGGTCAATAAAAGGCGAGATATGTACAATAAAAGATATGAATAGAATCGATAAAATACGAAATCGCTTAGACGTTTTAGACGTTATTAGAAGTTTCAGTATGACATATTCTTTAAAGTCAATACAGTTCCCAGTTTGTGCTCAAAAACTCAGCCATGTGCTACAACAGTTAGGACAAAAGTCAACCTTGATAATCTATGCTAGTGAACTCGACTCCAACCAGCCATTATTACCTTTTTGCTCAAATGTGTTCACGTCTTGCAGTTAACAGTAAAACTCTTTCATATATTCTTTTATATGTATGATAAATATATGTTATTCACCGGCTGGTAGGTCCGTATTGGGAGAAACTGTGCCCGAGGTCTTGAGTACCCAGACCGGTACTCAGACCGAGGGCACAGTTTCTCCCAATACGGACCGATCTAGGCCGGTGAAGAACATTTTTATTTTTTTCCAACTGAGATTTAAAAGTTTCAGGAAATTTTTCCTGCACTCTCCAACCTATGTGCAGTTATAAAAGTGGTACGCGTTCGTGTTGATGAAGCGCGCGATCGATTGCAAACCAAAACAAAACATCATGATTTTTAGCTCGGTAATTTTAATATATTATGGCACTTACTGCTCTCTTTAAGAATGAAGAAAAGTTTTTTGTGTCTTGCTAGACAGTTCTTTATCTGAGTGTCAAACAAGGATAAAAGAATTGACGAACTTAAAAGCCACAGGAAAGAAAATACAGCAAAGGTTTTCTTCGTCTGAATATTTACTTTAAAAGATTAATAATTCAATTGAGCGGGATAAAAACTGTACAAAGGCTTTATAAAAAGAGCTAATTTAACATACCAATCTTAGGCCCAGTTCAGACGTCGTGCTTCTGCCGTGCCGAACTAAATTCAGGAATTAAGTTCGACAGAAGCACGGCAGAAGCACGGCGTCTGAATCAAACTTTTGAATTAAGTTCGGCAAGCAATTAAGTTCGACAAGCGCTGCCGTGCTACACGACTCTGGCACGGCAGCGATTCAAACGTCGTGCTTCTGCCGCGCTAAACAAAATTCAGAAATTATATTAATGTATTTTGGCGAGATTGCGTTCCCACGGGGAGTTGGGAGAGGAATTGTTACGAGGCATCAGTAAATCCTGAATTTGGTTCGACTCTGGCACGACGTCTGAATCAAAGTTGTTTTCCTGCCGTGCTACAGTCGAACCAAATTACAATTAAGTTCGGCACGGCAGAAGCACGACGTCTGAACTGGGCCTTAGGGTTTTGAAGTGAATTCGAATAAAAGGAGGCGATGTGCGTAACTAAACAATTATATAAACAAAGAACTAAAAAGTGCGATAACTGACGGCTGGAAAAGTCGTTCGTGTGGTTTATTCAAGATTGAAAGCTTCATGAAATCGTTGACAACAACCTTTTCTGAAAAGTAGAAAACTAGCGAGGCAAACTTGAATTCAATGAAAAACGGCAGAATCTAGATTCAGACAGCAAAAATGGAAAACAAACCTACACTCCGAGGAAAAATGTCGAATAAACGGTGCATGAGAGCCAGATTGCAGTACTTACAGCGTAGGTTATAAAGCTAGTGAAGCGACATCGCGAGCTGCCTGTTTTGTTTTACTTTAGCGGTTTTCCTGGCTCACTTGCTTGATTCTCCTTTCAGATGTTTTGTCTGAATAACAAAATTCACATTTCCCTAGCTAATACTAATAATAGCGCAAGTTTTAAAAGAAAAATGGTTCTGAATGACCGGTTTTGCTCATTCACAAACAACAAACAAAATTGTGAATGAAGCTGCCACCAGGGCGAATAAAGGTTGGGTTGCTCGGACGCGCTCGTTTCACCGCCCAACCTTCATCCGCCCTGGCTGCCACTGAACGATTCCCCCCGGGTTAGCGGGCAAGATCGTACGAAAACCGCCCGCTCTCGGAACCAATCAGATTGCAGGATTTGGAGGATTCCGCCCGCTCGCAAGCTTAGAAGAAAATAATTAGCCTTTCTTCGATAGCATGTGCAAATACAAACGAATATGCCTAGAAATTAATTCTTAAGATTTAATTTGTTGTTGCTTTGTCAGTTATCAGCTTGTTAAAGCTCCTATGTCTTTTACCTATTTTTATTTTTATAGTTTTATATTAGTTCAAAGTAATTACAATTTTTTCATTTATGGTCACTGGACTTGATGAGATGACCTCAGTGAAGTGACCACCTATCCTGATGACCAAATATTTGTTCATAAAATTACAGTCTCTTGCAAATGGCGGCGACTATAGTGATATGGAATTGTTCATAATGTGGAATAAAAACAGCTCTGTTAGTTAAGTCTGCTTTTGATAAAACATGGCCACTGGGGCCCCAGGCCAGTGCGGTGTCCAAAGGAGTAGGCGGCTTGCCATCTTGGTCACCATAGCTGGATAGCTCAGGGACCGGCCTAAAAGTGGGTCGGTGGATCGGGCCTGGGGGCGGGGGGCGAGGGGGTTGGCAGAGCTACTGTGGTTAGGAGGGGGCTAATTTGACCCAACCCCTTGAGTAAGCAGTAGTGTTCACTAGAGGCTTTGATTGGAAAGCACTTTTTCTTACTTTGCCCTAGCCAGCTGAATCAGGCATCTGCTGAGAATAATTATCATGATAATTGCAGAGTCCATTGATAGGACAGGGGATAATAATATTTTATGGACCAGTTTATTTGGAAGTTTCCCACTTTTAAATAATGCATTAAAACAAGGGAAAATTTTGAATGTCAGAAGCTTATTCGTCTAAACCCTGTGTTTTCCACAATACCTTGCTTATTTCTATAATGAATTCATACTTGACAACATTAAGGAGACCAGAAACAATCAGTTCAGCAGTTACCCACTCAAATAGTTAATAGTAGCTACAATGAGGGACAAAAGTGTTGACACACTTCCATAAAATGGCCCCCTTTTGCATAGTGGATATACTTATCTCCTTCCCCTGTCTACCCCAACCCCTTCCCCCAAAATCAATGTTGAATTTTGGACCCTCAAGTCTTTTTTCTACTTCAGACAACATTGATTCGGGGGGTGAGGGGATTTACAACGTTTAAAAAGAATGAAATAATAAATGAATGAAATGTTTGTTAAAAGCACCCGTTTTAAACAAGTGTGTCAACTACTTTTGTCCCTGATTGTAGTTTCCATGTGATGACATCGAGGATCCTGCAACCCCGAATCATATTCCTCTTTTCTGACGTTTAACATTGAGTCAATAATTATTATTCAACTTTGCCTCCATCTTGTGTTGAAAATTTATATTATATACACTATTATATACCTCTTACGCATTACGCTCCAGTGAGCAAACATAAAGAAAGGAGGATAAGGGCCAGGTTGAAAAATTCATACAAATCAATGTATTTTGTCCACCCAAGGCTCTAGTTGGTGACTTTGTTTAAAGGCGCGATAAGTATTGTAAGTAATAATCCATACGAAGTGCTGGTATCAAAGGGCGCAGCTGGCCAATTGGTGAACAAAAGTCAAGGTCAAAAAAGGGAGCTAATAACATTATTTCACAAAAAATATTCTTCGTTTTGCTACAATTTATTTTATCTATGTTTCGATGTACATTGTCATAACAAGAAAATGGTCAGCAATTTCAGACAAAAAAATGGAATAAAAATAGTACAGAAATGCGCAAAGGCATTCTGGACTGATTATTATATAGAAAAATCTCTGAATCCAGGTAAATGAATTTTTTTTATTACCCTTGTTATTTTTCAATTTTCATCAATAACAGTATAATATAATATAACTGTACTAACATTACCAAACTGTTGTAGTGAGGATACAGACACCGATTACAACACCAAACCATTATATCGACTCAGTACCACCCATTCTATTTTCATGAGCCACACAATTGCATCAAACTGAAATGGAAGGGGCCGGGAAATTATAACACTAAGAGAATTTACCTGCAATGACATTTTTCATAACTTTTTTTTTAAACCTGTCTCAATTATCAATAGAGATACACCAGCAAAAGCATAACCCCTTAGATCACATTAATGAAAAAAAATATTTGGAAAACTTTTGAGTAGTTGACACAACAAACGTCAGGAATTTCAAATCTGCATTAATTCACGCATCAGAGCTTGCTGACTCTTTGAATAAAAAAAAAAGCTTTTCATTCATCTAGTTAATGTGATAATGGAAGAGGACATCTATGTCTCAACTATATCTTGCATGTGAATTGAATGCAAACTAGGCATGAAGGAATGTAGAGATGAACTTGAAATCACTGATGGAATCTTGGAGTTACAATTAAAATGGCTTAACTTGATAATTAGTGAACAACAATAATTAAAGAGTTAAAGTAAAGGAAGATCAAATTTACACAACTTAGAGAAAGGAAATAAGCCCTAAAAATGTCACTCACTAAAAAGGTAAAGGTAAAAACCATTGTCTCAGTGTTTTTTCCAGAAAATCCAGACATGTAGTATAGCATGGTAGAAATTGATGATAGTTATTGAGCAAATATAATCACCGAAGAATTGAAGCTATACCGCAAATCACTGAAATTGTTTCAACTGGACAAAAGGAAAATCAAAACCATAAAATTTGACTTATATGCGCTCTTATTCTTTAACACAGCAGATTTATGTCTGCCAGTTGTATAGTCGAGACTTCTGCAATACTCAACTGAAGCACAATAAAATCTTTTACTGTGCATAATCAGGAGTCAGAGGTACGTTATTGACTAGTACATGGACAGTGAATGCTGCAAATGTCTCAACTGATATAACATATTTTAGTTAAACCCAGGAGTCAGCATTGTCCACACATCCACAATATTTACCAATATCTAAACTCCATAATAACCTCTGTGACAGCATCAAAAGGCCGTAGCGTTTTTTTAGAAACCAGAGGCAAAATAACACATTAAAAATTGTCTAACTTGAAAATAAATGTTCATTCCTTGGTTACTATCTTCCACCCCGGGAGGAAATGTTTCATGCAGCACAGTTATAACATGAAGTGGAACATGTAATGAATTTTGTGGCACTTCCACCCCAGATAAATCATCCCCTTGAGGTGTAGGTGCATTGGGGTCATCTCCATACATATTAAGATCTTCAGGTAATGAATTGTCTATGATCCCTCGAACACCAGAATAATTGGACGAATGATGCTGCAGAATTCCAGAAATCCATAGCTGATGAGGAGTAAGGCCATGTTCACTAGAAAGTCCATGGTTATTAAAAGTGTCCACAAATTGTGTTAAAGCAGTATTGATCCTTGGCATGTAGACATAATGGAGTGCATAAAGATCAATATCATTGCTGCGAATTAGCAAACCCATTTGTTCCAAATGCAGAAAGACATTTTTGAAGGAGAACAATATACAGTGAACCACTTCACGCCATAACCTCTCAGTCCTTGTGTTGTGAACACTTGGTCCTGTGATAAAACTACCACGACTTTCCCCCCTATAATGAACCATAACATCTCCTACAGCAACATTTTCTCCACCATCATCTGCTCTTACCCGGGAAGGCAAACCCCATATATTTATTGATTCGCGGAACAACGAAAGCACTGTAGCAGCTCTATTGTTGTTACTGCATCTGAGGTAAACAATCAGCCTGGAATAACCATCAATACCTCCGTGAATTACAAAACGCCAGTGCCGTAACTTTAAATTACTGTCAATGTGCCATAGGAAATTGGGATGTGGAAGTCGGTATGGCCTTCGAGGAATTTGCTGAGCCCAGCGGCAGGCTCTACCTATTGGATCCAAATTGATCAGGGCATCACGCACCCTCCAGCGCTGGACCCATATACCACGCCTTCTGAGAGCCCCTTGCATGTATCGTTCCCCACAACGAGGCATTGAAACAAGTTCTTCTTGTACTATTTGCTGCAAGTCAATATCTGGAATGTGTGAATATGTCACAAAGGAATGGGGAATCTCTAACTCATTGACCCTTCTGTGGATAGTCCATCGTGATACTCCCAGAATGCTAGCAATGGTGCTCCACGAAAAGAACCATGACCGCAAGAGCATCAACTGTTCCCTGGAAATTTCATAAGCAGGATGGCCCACAGAACCAGTGTGCCTAACAGGTGCTCTATAGCATGACCTAGGAGAGAATACTGGTAATTCCTGAAATAACTGCTCAATTACCCTTATGTCCCTTGCGAGATTCCTCAGATCATTCACTTCAGTTGGTGAAAACTGACCCGATCTCTCTACAAAGGAAAGAACTTGTTGCATATGGCGAACTGCACCACCTAACCTAAGGAGTAAAAAATCTGCAGTTTCCCTATCTAAAGGAGAACTACGACACCTATCAACTTCTTGCAACAGTTGTTGAATAGACGATACAAACCGCTGTAGTTGCCTGTTAGCATGTCCACTGTGTGTCATAGAAAACAAAAGAAGCAAAATAAGAAGAAAATATACTTTTTTACAGTCCAGAAGATCGTTTTTACTGTCATACAATAAACACAGCACCAAAAAAATAAACTGGGAAAGATCAAAGTCAAAGTCTCATATCCAATAATATGGCCGCTGGAAAGCAACAAAAACATCTGGAATTTACTTTTTCAATAAAAGCTCTTTCTTTTCTGGAAACTTGTACATAGACCTATCTTTTATTATCTTCAACCTGGTACAGTGTATGTATGAACAAAACAGCGTAAAACCTCGCTTTTTTAACCGCAAGCTTACACTTTGATGGCGTCACTGTGAAAACCATGCAGTACAGATAAGCTTAATGAAAAATAGAAATAAAAACATACCTTCTCATAAAGCATACAAAAAAGCAAAAAAAGAACATAAAAAAGACTTTCATCGGCTTCATCACTTGAGCGTGACGTGTTTCGTTGCGGAAACAAACAAGCAAAACCCGAAGAACGATACGAACGACCAAAATGAAAATGGCCGACTCGATTTTAGGGAGGAGGGGACTTGGGGAGGATTACGAATACCACGTCATATATGAACACATTTTACTTCCATAGTAACACTCATAACGACAACATTTCGAAGGGGTAGAGTTACATTCCGTAGCCATGGAAATCGTCCTTTCGAAAGAGTTACATTTCATTTCGAAAGTATCCCATTACTTTTCGAAAGATATCGTATTGCTTTTCGAACTCATTTCGTTACTTTCCGAACCCATTTCGTTACGTTTTTTATGTTTCCCCTGCGCGCTTTCTTCCCCTCCTCAATAAAGTTACTTCTGCGAGGAGAGGGACCAGTTCAAACGCAACGCCTTTCGTTCTTGCGTTTAAACCAACTAACGGTAAGGGAGCTCTCAACCTCGTCCCCAGGGCTTTTCCCTCAAGCCATGGGGATGAGGTTGGGTAGCTCTTTAAATCAATATTTCGGGTGATCGTGATCAAAATGTTATTTTTCACGCCCGTTTTTAGACCTGTCCTTTGAGAAATCATGTCATTATTACTTAGATTACAACAGCAACAACGCAATCCATTAGAATTCGCATATTTCTTTTTTCTTTCTTACTCTTTTGCAACTGAAACAATAAATACGTTCGTACACTCCTGTAGTGCCCTCGAAAACCATACTCGATTGCAGACCAAAATGAGCAAAGTCTACACCCGTTTTCAGACCAAAACCACGCAAAACCCTTTAGGGTGGTACATAGATACGTAGGGGAGTACCCCCCGGGCCCAGATAATACAAACACTTTATTGGCATGTTCACTTGATGTCTGCCATGTTTGTCCCCGAGAATCGATCTTTAGCGGACTAGAAGAACTTGTTTGGCGATCCAGCAAACTTTAATATTCAGAGTAGCTAAACTGAGACAAACGTCGAACTTATCATTAACTTAAATCACTCAGAATGGTTCCTCTCATGAAAAGTCGGACGTTTGGCCCTGGTTTTAGTCGATCCAGGATCCAAACTCATTCAAACAAACTTGACTGCGACAGAAGACAAACTTATTATGAACTTAATCAGTTCAGCTTGGATCGGGGGGTACTCAACAAAGTTTTATACAGGGAGGTACCGCCCCAAAGTCCAACCCCTTGCCCTCTAAAATACTGTTTTTGACAGAAAAGGTAGCCCTTCCGTTATTCTAATTCTGATTCGTTTCGTGTTATCTGCAAAGAGGATATTCCATCACGGCGGATATGCAATTGTACAGGTGCTTGTGTTAAGATATAATCAAGGTGCGAATGTCAAGTGAATAAAGATAGTAATAATAAAAAGTTCCCGGTTTAACGCTTTTTTAAAGATGGCTCACGACGGCCGTTTTGAAAGCCTCCACTGACTGCTTTTCAATGACACAATTTGGTAAAGATTTCCAGTCTCTGATTGTACGTGCAGTAAAACTTTGTTGCTATTTGTTTGTTTTGGCATTAACTTGAAAGAATTGCCTAGTGCCCTGTCGCCTTTTAAATCATATACAGGGTGGAAATCGGTATAGCTGATGACCAGAGACAACTTTGAAACATCATTGTGAGTCGTGCAACTTTCCTTCTTTTCTCGATTGTTGGCTATTTTAGATCATTGAGAATTTTCGTGACAGTTCCAGGAGTGATGCTATATTCTTTTTAACAAAACGTGCCGCTCGTCTCTGCACACTCTCAATGTCATTTATCTGCTTTTGAATGTGCGGATCCCATGCGAAACATCATATTCAAGCTGTGGTCTAACTAAAGCAAGATAGGCTTCCTCTTTAACGTTTTCTGGGCGCTTAGTTAGGTTTCTTCTTGTAAAGCCAAAAAATCTGTTGGCTTTGTCTATAATTCCAGCAACATGAACATCCCAGTTTAGATCACTGGATAGCTCAACTCCGAGGTATAGCTTCCAAGGGTTCTCCGTGGATAGTGTATTGGAATTTAACTAGAGTTTTGAGCACGAGGCTCTTAGGATGGTGCATTTGTTTGCATTAAACGAGAGCTGCCATGTGTCCGCTCAGTGTGCAAGTGTGTTTAGGTCTTGCTGTAGTGACTCTGCATCATTACAATCTTTGATTACACCATAAAGTGCCGCGTCGTCTGCGAAAAGGCCAATTTGTGCTTTTGTGTTTTCGCCGATATCGTGTATATACAAAACGAACATGAGTGGGCCCAACACAGTACCCCGCGGCACACCTGATCTCACGGGAATATTTGATTCCAGGTGGTTAGCCATTGTTCGAGCCAGGTCTTGAGATTTCCACGGAATTCCGTAGAAATCTAATGTATTCAACAATCGGCGATGGGGCACCGTGTCGAATGCCTTTGAAACGTCGAGTAACAACAAATCACTTTATTGGCTAAGGTCAAGGTTACCTGCTACTGATTCAATAACTGTGATCAGTTGCATTTCATAAGAGTGCTGTTGTCTGTAGCCGTGTTGATAATGTACCAGAATAGAATTTGAATCAAGGTGATTCATGATGTGCCGGTATATAACATGTTCCATTATGTTACAAGACACAGATGTTAGAGAAATCGGTCTGTAATTACTTGGCTCGCGCGATTTCTTTTTTTGAAAACTGGGGTGGGACTTGACCTGTTTTGTATTGATAGAGTAAAAATATACTGGAGAAATGGGGCAATGACTACCTGCTAACACCTTGCTAACCTTGAGTTGTCATTTTCCATTCTGACAAATGCGCCACACGAGGCGGGCTGGACATCCATCTGACCGCTGAGGTACTGGACTACAGCTTCACCAGTGATGTTATCGGCAGTGGTCACGTGGAACGTTCTTCCATTTTTTTTTACTGCAGTGGAATCTCAGCTGGGTGAAAGACAAGACTGATCTCAGCTCATTCATGGCGGTTTTGTGAGAACCATCTCATCACTGGTTATTCCACGGTATGAAGTCTTGACTGGCTGCTAAGAAGGAGGAGATGAACCAATCACAACTCCTGTGAATTAATGAATGGGTCCTCGTTACATGCGGGGTTTTATGACTTGATCTTGTTTGTTGATCTTCGCGGCCTCGGTAAATAACCATCACCACTAGCCACTTCCACTTCGGTGAATAATTGTTGTATATCACACTTATCCTTATCCAGTAGTTTATATCGTAGCTCTTGCGCGCGAGGCGCGCCAGCTGAGGACCATGGGTAACAAAATGAAGTAATCTACCCATCCGAGAAAATTTGCTAATCACGTGACCGTACACCCACCGAGCGACCATCCGTCCTCACCACAGGCATACCAATGTAAAATAACTCAATCAACAGGTATAGCAACCCAAATGCAACTCGAGGCTATCTGGCGGGAAATCGCATAGCCACCCACGTCTTGTAAAACAGAGGCAGCTACAGAGTCAATAACGACGAAAACGGAAAGCGAAAATTGTTTCTGTATCCGTGTTGTCTAAAGTATTTAGCTTAGATGAATTGTCCTGTCCACAAATTTGGAATATAGAGCAGGAGAAAGACAGAGAAAAGAGAAAGTAGGCGGCAGGCCAGCGAAGTTTAACGAGAAAGAGGACGACAGAGCCTAGAGCGAGGGATTAAAAACAAAGGAGACATTTTTTTGTTGGAAGAACAACATGAAAATTTTGTAGCGGCGGTGACAAAATGAGAAATGCTAGCGGCCACCAATGCAAGGTAAAACTGAGCGGCAGTGAAAAAAAAGTGGACGAGAACACGTACGACATATCCTCTATAAAACATGTAACTAAGAAGTTTCTGGAAGTTTCTTAATTAATCGACGGCCACTAAGCTTGCCAAAATACGCTGTGTAAGCAGGTTGCATATTGCCAAAAAATTTCAGCTTTAAAACCAAAAAAAAAAAAAAAAAAAAGAAAAATCCAAATTGCAAAAATCTCAGGGTGGATGGGTGAAGCTCGATCTATGGTTCAACTTGGTCGTTACGTAAGCGTAACGCGATCGTTCTTCAATTAAACCCTCGATCCTCCGAATTCCGAGTGATACTCCACGAGAAAACCAATTTCGTTCTTCCAGTGAAACAGGGGTAAAAGGTTTTTTTCTTGTTATGTGGACTGTCTCGTGGTTCGGTTTTGTTTGAATTCGTTAGTGAATTTTGCAAAGCGTTTTTGTTAAATTTTTATTAGGTTAGGTTCAGGGGA